TACTTTATCTCATATTATTCAACATGTTTGACCTGCCTAAGAATTTACCTAAACCAATTTATTAATGGGATAAAGGCAGAAATCACAGTTCAGAAAATCAAGTTTTAACTGTGAACCCAGGATAGATTAAATATCTATTTATGAAGTGACCACAAGTCGCAGATTATGATTTGAGAAAAGAAAGAAGGGAGTAATCTTAAAATACTGCTATTTTCCCAGAGCATCACCAACCTATCTGAAGAGCTTTTAAACTCTACGCAATCTATAATATAAACTCATTAGGAGCATGAACAGAAGATATAATTGATTAGCCAGTTCACAATACATGCACTGTAATGAGACAGCTCAAACAAAGACCTGGGATAAGAAAATAAACACTTGCACAATAATTAGTATTGTGTTACTAATAGTAGGGAAAAGCCTTTAAATCATTGAGAGCCATGTAGTTAGACAACAATCTATTCAACACAGTAAGCTAACCTTTAAGCAATGAAGTTCAGTGCCATCCCTGTTATAAATATATGGATACCTGTTGTTAATTAAAATGGTTAGCACCTCTAAACAAGATTAAACATCAATCTTAAGTAGAAGATAAACTAGTGAAAATTACAAAAAGAGATTTTGCTTATAAGTTGAACTCGTGTGTTTATTCACATTGCAAGGAAAAGAAAAAAATACATGTACGTAACCGAAGGCCATGGTAGAGAATATTGGCTCAAACAACATAATGTGAATCCTCCAACAAGTACACAGGGCTAAATCAATGTATATAAAATGGGACAAAAGTGCATCACCATGCCACCACCAGGGATAAAGAAAAATGTGGTTGTGAGAAAAATCTATAATCTGCTGGATCAACAAGTCAGTTTAAAGTAGATTGAGCAGGTTTTAGTAATATCTGGAGTTGTCCATTTGTCCAAATAAAAATTGTACAATGGGAGTATTCGATGTTTGGCAATATTAGTCACATGCAACAGAAAAAAATTTCCATCTATAATCTATCCTGTAAATGTAAAAAGATTACCAAACTACAGAACATTAATTTAAGTGAAGCAAACAGTTTTATACTTTTTCTGGGCAGCAGCAAAGAACAACTCATTGTGCAAGAACACCACATCACGCACTGTTTCTCTAACCTGAACAAACAATTAGCTAATCAGTTCAATGTTCCAGTTAAACCACGAAGTACAAATCAAACAAGGACCCAACATTTGCGCATAACATTTAAAAACATAGAAAACCACTAATGAACTAAATGTACATTGAGGAAAACAATAAAGGGTTTACTACAGTAACATCCACCCATCTAAACTTTCACATTTGGACAGTGGGAAGCTACAACTACATCAAACTGATAATTTGACTCAAAACATATCACAACTTGATAAGGTTCAAAGATTAAATTGCTTAAAATGTACTTGCTTGATGCCTTTCATTCTCTCTCCCGCAACTCTTATCTTCATAACGTTGGTTACAAAATTCAGAATCTAATCTGGTGCATCAAATTCCACACTAGTACATTATATCTTTGCATATGAAGACTAAGACATGGGGACATGGCTGCAAGAAACATATCTAAATCAATCTAGCAAGAGGCGAACAATTTTGGTAAGAAAAAAAGAGAGGCAAACAATCATGTATAATATAAGGTCAAAGTATCTGACTGAAAAGGTATTACTACTCGGTAGAAAAAATATAGTTTTATTTTGAATTCATACTGCCCAAAATACCTGAATTTCTTTAACCAGGCTCATATTCTTCATGTCTAAAATAGCCAGATGGCCCTTGCGTCCACCAGCTGCCATATACCGACCACTTGAGGTGAAATCCAGTGTGTAAGGACCAAGATCTGCAGATAAGAATTAGGTTTAAGTCATAAATTTTAGAGTAAGATTTGTGATGCAGGAGACCTCACAAATCATAAACCTGCTTTTAGATCTCACAAAGAAATCTGCCTTATTTTTAATATCTACTATAAATGCAACGTTATCGATCCCACATTCAACCCCTTGAACCATTATCTCAACTAATATCCAGCACCCAACAAAGCTATATTTTTTATTCTGCTCCAGTTCGTTTATTTCTTCTTTCCACCAAATATCAATGGACTTATCTGAAAACCCTGTAAAAAGAAAAGAATATTTCCAGTTTTCTTTTCATTGTTTATTGTCGATAAATCAGGATATTCCAAATTCTACTCTCTTCTCAGTCAATACAGGTCATCCCAAAACTAATTTTGCTTAGGCCAGTTGAATCAGAATTTGCATAACTGAAATGAAAAAAGCCACACAACCAGATATAGGACATGAAAACTTTCAACTTCAATAAGGAAAACAATAAAGTTTGAATGAAAAATTCTGACTGACTGTTAATCATTAGAAATCAATAAAAACGTTTAGGTTTCAACCTGGTAAGACAATATCATATTGACTCCTCGCGCTTAAGATATCTACTTCACAAGCAATTGATTCTTGTTTGATCCTCCATGTTTTCTCTATGCCTTCAGCCTCCAAATAGCCTCCCTCACTTGGCAGAAGCCACTATAATTTTGATCACAAATGAAAATTCATTAAAGTCTATTGTTATTACATCTACTAAAAGAAAAGGAGAAGCAAAACATCTTGTAGAAGATCAGCTTGTATGAACTAAATCCAGTGAATCAGAGAAAACTATAATTCAGATGAAAAGCAAACAGCATACGACTGGAAAAAAATTCAAACCATAGCTGAATCTATACAAATTAATACAAAAGCCAACAGAATGCTTAAGCATGACTGTATGTTAGATTTTTCCCCTTCTGCTATAACAGAACGACAGATCACATTCAATAAAAATTCACCTTCTCAGCCTTGGCAGCTGCTTGTGCAGATTTTCCAAACAATTCTTCTCTAACAGCAAGTTGACCCTTCAATTTTTTATCTTGCAAGCCCTACAAACACGACAATCCAAGATGCAATAAGAAATAAACAAGTCAAATTTCATGAAAAGTCAAATTCCCTTGACAATACGGTACCTCCAAATTAGTTTTTTCGCCTCTAAGAAACTTCTTCACTCTGATATCTAACTCATCAGAGATCTTCTCCTGCAAATGAAAATATGAACCATTTATTTTCTAATCGTGTAACAGGAATCCATATATTTACATAAGAACCTAGTGTTCAGCTCTCATGTTGGAGGAGTGAGATAGTGGAGATATGTAAAGAAGGTGTCAAGATTACAGCTCAGATTGCTTAAATGGTCAGGCACATTCCAAGTATGTAGCTAGAAAAAAATAAAAACAGATGAGAGTTTAACTATTTTCACAAGTATTACTTATAAACAGCCGAATGTGGTTAGAAAGCAGGAAGCAACAAAGAGAGTAGTACAATCAGGTAAGAAGAAATGGCCAAAATATCATGTTCAGTAAAAAAAAAATACAAAAAAAACTACTATAAGCAAAATGCCAAAATATTTACAATCGAATATCTTAACCAAACAGATGATCCGAGCAAACATCTATGAGACTGAATAGAACCATAATTGCAAGCACATGTTGAGGGACTGCTAGTGCTAGATAAGATATAATTGGTTGATTTTCATTTGGATAAAATAAAATGAGAATTAATGCATACCTGTTCAGATGTAGGCATAATACTGCCATCGTCTTGTTTCACACCCATCTTGCTTAATCCAGTTTCGTATTCGTAAAATACAAAATGCCCTGAAACTTGATGAGTAATGCAATTCAACTACAATATTCAATTTTTTCTAAAACAAGAATAAATAAAATGGTTCACATAATCTTTTAACTGGAGAATCCATATCCTATCTCGAGCTACACCTATACACATTCTGTACAAACTAGAAAACCCAACTCAAAAGGTGAATTTTGAATATCAAAACACTGAATTGAAGAGGAAAGAGGACAGAAAAAACTCAATGCATTAAGAAAAAGAAGAAGTAAATGCAAAAAGAAATCTATTAATATCAATGTATTATGAACAAATTCACATTAAATTGTGATCGTTGGACCTTCATGAAGGGCCAGGGTTAGAAAGCTCAGGCAAACTTAGGAGCAGAGATTATTCTGAGAGAAGCAGGACCCCTATTCAATTACAATCCATAAAATCCACAAGGGTTTATTAATCCTTTAAAATCCATTCAGAATTGATTATTGTTTGAGACAATCAAATTTTGGGTTTTGTCAAGAAAGGACAGAGACACTACTACCCTATCAAAAGAAAAATAATAGAAACATATGAACTGAAATGAAGTACGACACATACAGTAGCACAGAAAGTGTAAGCAAAAGATTTTTACAAGAACAAAACACAAGATACGAAGTCAGTATGCAGATACTGTGTTGGTACCTAAATTACTTAAAAGCAATAATGAAAAAGAAAACAATATCCAACATGTTTCATGGAGACATATCACCAAACAGTTGGTGTGCATCTTGGAGAGCATTTTATGATGCACCCTCAGTGAGTTAAGGCAATACCTCTCTGGTCCCAATTTAGTCGCTGTTTCTGGAGACTGCGAGAGAGAGAGAGACAGAGAGCTCAGCCCTTCAATGCGTCTCTGACAGATAACAAGATATACCCGAGACCGAAATGGAAGCTTAGGCTTTGTTGGGCAACAGAGCTTTGAAATTTCACGACGGAGAACCAGAAAAACGGTAGGGTTTTAGTATAGAGGTTTTGCTGCAGGAAAAAAAAAACGAAAAAAAATGGAAAAGACAAAGGTTGGGCCAATGGGCTGAGCACAAACCATAATGGGCCTTACCAGGCCCAAACCTAGTCCTGGAGGGAAAAGAAAAAAGAAAAAAACGCACAGAATCTTTGGAGCGAATATCCGTCAACAAAGTTGACATCGTCCCATCCCACCAACAACATCGTTATCAGCATCATCGTCGTCGATACAGCTCCGTGGGACCCACAACGACAACAACATGGTCGTCGTTCTTGTACCTTTGGGGGTTTTGCTGGGGTCCATTTTTACTTCTATAAATAAATAAATATCCAGAGAGAAAACTAACGAAATTTCTAATTCTTTCCGTGTCAGATTTTGCCTCTATTTTCTCTCTCTTCTCGGAAATTGAACTGAATGGCTAGCGGTGGGGCAGAACAGCAGGGTCCGGTGACGTGCGGGTCGTGGATCCGACGGCCCGAAAGCGCCAATTGGGCGGTGTTCGGGAGGTCCAGGCCTAAGGATTCTTCTTCGTCGTCGTCTTCTTCAGTTCTCGAGATATTCTCCTTCGACCCCAAGACTACTTCTCTCGCTTCCTCTCCCCTGGTCTCCCTCTCTTTCTAAAATCTCTTTTTATTTGAAATTTACAAGCTTTGGATGCAATTTTTTCTGCCCTGTGAATTGGGTATTCGTATTTTGGGTTTTTTTGTTTTACCGGTTTGACCCAAGAGAGCTTGAAGAAAGGGTTGACTTTTTTGTTTGCTTGCGTTTGACTTTAATTTTTGTTTTGTGTGTGTTTTGGATTGATTGTTTAGACTACATATGTGCTTGAAGAAGTGGAGGGTGAGCCAGTTTCCATTGCGGTGCACCCAACCGGGGACGACATCGTTTGCTCTACCTCTAATGGTGGCTGCAAGTGAGCTTTCTTTCTCTTCTAGTGATTTTGTTTTTCGAAATTTAACAGCTGTTTTTGTTATTTTATATCCGTGGTACTTTTTTTTATTTTTTTATTGTGGGTTTCTTTTTGTTTCCCAATTTGATGCTAATAATTAGTTGACGCCTTTTATAAGTTTAAAGAACCTTTTTTTTAAAGCTGTCCTTGTTTATTGGTTTATGGTGTTTGATCATTAAAGCTTGCTCAAACTGTACTGTTGTTTGATGTTGTTGGAGAGTAGCAGTGCTGTTTGATTGCTAAAACTGGAGCGTAAAGCTTCCCATCTGATGCACTGCTTCATTGTTGTAATAGTACTATAATTATTAGTGCTTGGATAGGATATGTGGGTACACATCTGTGGAATATATTTTCTTTTTTAAGTGCTTTTTTATTTTTATTTAATTTCGGTGGCAAGGTTCAAATATTTGGTTTTCTTGAACCGTTTTAAATTTAGAACCCAGAAGATAAGTTTTTTGGGTCTTCCATATGCTTTATTTTCCTACTATCACTGCTTTTTGTTTGCACATTTTGACTTCACTTCAACAAAAGAACATGATCTCTGTATAAAGATATTATTCAAATTTAAGGTGGAGTTTGTTAGGATTAAACCAAGATAGAGACAAGAGCATGATGGGGATACTTTTCTCGTATAAATTGTTGCTCAACTTGCCGGTGTTTGTTGGCTGATTGAGCTTCTTTTCCTCCTGCTCCTCCTCTTTCTGTGTTAGCTAGTCTGTTTATTGAGATTTTAGTGGAGGTTATGTAGTCCTCAAGTGTGGCCACATTGAGTATTTTTCCTTGAGTTGTCAGTATATCTCATATATTGAATTATATTTTTTTGGGAGAAATGCAGATTGTTTGAGTTATATGGCCAAGAATCAAATGCAAAGCTGCTGGCAAAAGAACTAGCTCCTTTGAATGGAATTGGTCCACAGAAGTGTCTAGCTTTTAGTGTTGATGGATCTAAATTGGCTACTGGTGGAGTGGTAAGCAATAATCTGTATTACTGTCCATTTTCACCATACACGTCTCGTGCTGCAGCTTAATTTTTATGCCAAACATTTATTTAATCATGCCCTAATCAACTTTAGGATGGGCATTTGAGAATTTTGGAGTGGCCAAGCCTCCGAATAATTTTAGATGAACCAAAAGCGCACAAGTCGGTTCGTGATTTGGATTTCAGGTGAGGAAAATGCTTGTTGATTGTCTTGTGTACATTTAAATACAGATAACAAGGCATAAGAAAATGCTATAATCAGATATCTGTTTACATTTTGTTGGATTGGGCATTGTCATATGATTGAGCAAGAAGAGTTATGTATCTTAATCAATGCTACTGCAGTTACATAGGAGAAGGCCATGCTGTTTTCCCGCAGTACTTATTCCACTCATCTAAGAATCTCAAACAAACCACCTGTCTTGGTTGAATTTAGTATAAGCAAAGATGAATTGGTTATATAATGAAAATAAAAGACGTTAATGGATTCTTTTTCCCTTTCATTTTCTTTTGGTGTATGGAGTCTATAGACTGGAATCTTTTAAGAAGATTTGCTCAGTTTTCCTATACTGGATTTTGAATGTTTTGGTCTATGTTTATCCTACTCTAGCCTAGACTCTGAGTTCTTAGCTTCAACATCTACTGATGGGGCAGCAAGAATATGGAAGATGGAAGATTGTGTTCCTTTGACTACTTTGACTCGCAACTCGGTATGGCTTATTCATTTAAAATTTTGAAATATATTGCCTTTTTTTCTCCTATCTTGCATAATATTTGGTGTGTTTTTTTTGGGTGGAATCTTGAGGTAATATTTGGAGTTTAATTCATGCAGGATGAAAAGATTGAACTCTGTCGGTTTTCTAAGGATGGAACAAAACCCTTTCTATTTTGCACTGTTCAAAAAGGTCTACCTCTCTAAAATAATTCTGTACTGCTATATCATTGTTTCTCAGACAATTAAATATATTTGTTTTAATCAAACAGGTGATAAAGCTTTCACCGCAGTTTGGGACATAAGTACATGGACTAAAATTGGGCATAAGAGGCTACTTAAAAAGTCTGCTTCCGTTATGTCCGTCAGCAAGGATGGGAAATATCTTGCTCTGTAAGCGCTTTACTGCATTTTATCTTGTGTTTATATACTAGGCTTTAAATGAGAATTTGTTAAACAATAAATTGCTCTGATGGTGCATCGAATTGAACATTAAACATCTCTGGTAATTAGACTGGTTCATATTTATAATGAATTGAGTGCTAATGTAATATACACATAGATATGCCTGCTCACACGCCCTTTTAAGAGAGAGGATAAATCTTTCAAATGTTCTATGTTGATGTGAATCAGTGAAATATATTAATTGACTGGTTATTATGTTCTTTCTTTGGCTCAATGATGAGTCACTCCACATTTGGATACAGTGCTTTGATGATTTGGTAAATATTATCAGAATGTTGTTGTTGGGACATAGTTTACGATATCGGTTTCACCAGTTTTTTCTTTAAATTGCAGAGGAAGCAAAGATGGAGATATTTGTGTGGTTGAAGTTAAGAAAATGGAGATTTGCCACTGGAGTAAGAGGCTACACCTGGGTACATGCATTGAAACTCTGGAGTTTTGTCCCACTGAAAGGTAAGGCCCTTCCAACCAATACAGTTTTGTGAATTACTACTGACATGTTTTTGTATGTTGCATTACCATAATTGATTGACCCGTGCTTAACAATCAATCCATTCCTTGACCGTGATTTAAATATAATAAAATTTGACTTTATTTTGTAATGCAGATAGATTTGCTGTATAATTTGCATATGTTATAGAGAAGGTTTTACTTGTGTTATTAGAGCTCATCTTGTTTTCAGATCTCAGGTCGCGCTAGATGCACTTTCGTAGTATGTATTTTTCATGAAAATGCTTCTTTAGAGGCCATTTCCTTGGTATTCATTCTATTGAATGTTTAAGGATCGGCACACAACTTTCTTCTAATTTTCTTAATGCTTCTATTTGCCTTCATTGAACAGCATTGGAATTATAGTCTTGCACAGGAAGGGGCTTTAACTTTGGAAAAGATTTTCTTGTTTCTTTTTCTTCTGCATTGGAATGCTAAAGTAGAGTACTAAGTGTTGCTGGAAACTTCCAATGAAATTTAACTTTAGACATGTTTTGTAACCCAAAAAATTTGGAGTATGTAATTCTTTGGTTATTGGATGCTCACGTTTTTCTTGGTTTCAGGGTTGTGCTCACTACTTCTAATGAATGGGGGGCTGTTGTAACTAAGTTAAATGTTCCAGCAGATTGGAAAGGTACTCTCTCTCTCTCTCTCTCTGTTTTCTTCTTCTTTTGTTGTTATATATTTTTTTGTGTGTGGTTTGACAGGTTTGTTTACCCTTGTTCCAAATATGCAGAGTGGCAGATCTATATGGTGCTTTTAGGACTGTTTTTAGCATCCGCTGTCGCCTTTTACATCTTCTTCGAGAACTCTGATTCATTTTGGAACTTCCCTCTTGGAAGAAATCAACCAGCAAGACCGCACTTGGGAGCATTTTTAAGAGATTCAAAGTCTTCTGATGACAGAAATATTTGGGGTCCGGTTGATATGTGATGATTTTTATTGTCCACTCTCTACGACCGATGGGAAGAAATGTCATATCGGTAACTGAACAAAAACCATGCTCATTAAGTCTCCAAGCTAACCTAGTTTTATTTCAATCCTATGGGACATTATTTTTGTGGTGTATATAGCATTCACAGAAATGTAGTAGAGAATTTCTTCCTCTTCACAATGCATAATTGATTTAAATTTGTTGTGGGAAGCCTGAGTGTTGTGTGATTGCATTTATGCGCATAGTGTTTTTCGTCCAGCTACGAGGTGTTCTTGATTATGCATGATACTTTGGTTTTTTTCTTTTCATATGCATAAGGGGGCTCACTGCCCATAGCAGTACTTGCCGATGGTTGAATTCTTAAGAGTCCTTACCGTATTTGCCTTTTTTCCTTACTAAATTTTCCTATTCTGAGTTGACATCTTCTTCTTAGTCAAAAGTATTATGTAGTATTGTAGTGAGGTCATCTCTTCTCTTGAGGCGAAATAGAAAAAGAATGGTAATTTCCTCTCCTCATCAGAAGTTGAAGAAGAAAAATGCCCTCATTGACTGAGACTTCTCCCCCAATAATATAAAAACAAAAATGAAAAAAACATTTCCGGTGATCTTTTTTTTTTCCTTCTAAAAAAGATCTGGGTATCCATATGCTGATAGCATGTTGTACTGGTCTAGTAAATTTTGGTGTACATTTTTAGATTAGAAGATCTCCACCATTCATCATGTGGACTTTTGAGGGAGGCCTACAAGATGAACTGTAATGGTCAAAGTAGTGAATTGGGGTCCAGCCCCTTAATCACGTGGTGTTGTTACTCTCTCCAATCCAATGTAATCTAATGTGCTCCAATTCTACATTAGAATTCAATACAATTACAGTCACCAAAACAAACAGGGTCTTTAAGTACGTGCAGCTATCTAAATTAAATTCCTAAAAATTCAATATATTTTCACATTTTCTTTTTTAGATAAATTATATTATTATCATCTTTTTATTTATGAAAAGGCAGGCTAAGGCCAAAGAAAAGAAACAAACTAAAAAACTACTAGCCTATCATGAGCTTGACCCACCAGAGTCCAAAAAACAAACTAAAGAAGCAAGAGCAATAGAATAAATTATTTTTCATATTAAAGAAACGACTACATGTATAATGAGTGCTGCTAAACGAACTCTAAAATTAACTGAGTACACCTTATCATTAAATTATTTATTAAATTAATAATTTATTCTAATATAAAATAATCAAAAAGAATATATTGAATTGTGAAATAAATATAATTTTAATAAGTTGCAGACATTGAGATCTCCACCGGCCTCTCTAATAACATTACCAAAGTCTTCTATGCCCTTGCTTTCCTGCCAAAGTAAAAATTTTAAATAAATTGTAGACATTGAGATTCATGAGTGTAGAAATTACAACGAGCAAGAGCTGGAAAAGTATAACACTCATAAAATGAGAAACCTGGTTTAGGATTGGTATTAGGGTGTCGTGTAATAGTGTATTAGGGAGTATCAATGGTATTTTTTGTAGTTAAATAGGGTGTACTTAGTTAATTTTGCATTTTGATTAAAATATTATGGTATACTTAGATCATCATAGGGTGTACTTAGTTAATTTTTGAGTTCATTTAGCAACACTCTATATAATATACTGTTTATTGGTTACCAGCGGATGACAGATGAAATATTGAACGATGCCTCTTTCTGTTTGTTGGTTACCAGCGGTGGTACCGGCCGGCATAAGGTTTTGTATCTTTCGGTGTTCATCAATGTTCATGTTGTTGACACTTACGTGTGGAACGATGACGTGGGGGAGGCCGGATTAGAATTCGTGCCTTGGTCCAAAAAATTGTGGGTTGAGAATAAGTTGGAGAGGGTGAGAGAAGTACAAGTTTCGACTGTGTGTTCGATTTGTATGGAGGAGATTGTGGTTGGTTCGGCAGGTACTTGTATGTTCTCATCTTTTTCATGGAGCTTGCATTCTCAAGTGGGTGGACAAAAGCAGGTCTTGTCCATTGTGTCGATTTTCCATTCCTACTTTGATGCATGAAGAGAGATGATGGACGAAGTTTTTAGATATTAATTTTGTATATATATATTTTTAATATTGTAGCCAAGTCAATGAAGGTGAATTTATTTTTTTTGGTGAGATATTGATTAATCTGATTCTTGCAATTTCAATATAATGTACTTTATTAGGAAGCGGCTTTATTCTGTAGTTCAAAGCAAATATGTTAGTTGCACTAATGAGGGGAAGCTTTATTAATTCTAGTGATACAAATAATAACTAATAAACGGGTTGTTGGTTAACAATTCAAAGGATTGCCGAAGGCGGTTAAGTGATTAAGAGCATTTATCCTTGTATCTGAGATCCTATAAGTGACACGCAAAATACACATGTTACATATAACTCAAGAAGAGAAAAAGATCCACAGAAGAAAGCACATGCCATAATATGAGAAGCTACACCAACCAAATCAAGAAAAAAAAGAAAGATATTTAGTCATATACTCATTCTTAGCACTAATGATATAGATCAACTCTACACCATTTAATTTCCATAAACAAACCCAAAAAATGACAGTTGCCCCTATTGAATTGAATTTTGATTCCCTATTGAGTGTTTTGGGTTTTTTATGAGGTTTTGGGGTTGAGCTTGTTTTAAGAAATCGATGGTAGTTTTGTAATTTATACAAAGTTAGAAGCCTCTTTGTTAAGTTGTAAATGGGCTTTGGATGTATTTCTTAAGTCAATTTCATATGGGTTTCTTATATTATAATTTGGGCTATTATATTAAGTATAATAGTGAATCTCCAAAAAAATAAAATCCAGTCAAACTTCCGCATTAAGGAAGAAATTGTCCTTGATGGGTTCAAGCAGACAAACACCCAAACACTCAAGTACTCAAGTACTCAAGTTTAGTTGACCAAAAAAAAAAAAAACTCAAGTACCCAAGTTTTTGTTTTTGTTTTTATTTTTCACTAGAAGCACAACAAACAGGTTCTAACACACCAAAGTCGAAGATCTTCCACGTGGCATTCTTCGTATAATATTTTTTATTGTGATTTTCTAAAATGTAACCAAAATTTAAAAAGAGTGAATAATTCATATAATAATAAAAAATAAATCTCACCTAAGTAATTATATAGAAGCAGTTGCTCCCTACCGCAGGCACATCCTCTTTTATGTTGCATTTTCAGTTTTTATATTTTTATATATCTATATATTTACTTAATAATAATAAAAAAATTCGACACACCACAATTATAATTTACAACCTTGGGTCTGAAAAAAAAGAGGAGAGAGAGAGAATTACAACCTTGGGGGAATTAAAGGTGAAATGCCGAGTGTTATTGTCTGTCTTTTGTATTACTAGTAATAGCAAGGCAAAACTGAGATCCAGCCCAGAGTCAAAGAGTTGACTAAGCACATGCGATTTTCAATTAACTTTTTCTTCGTAAAATAAATATTTGACAGAAAAATCCCAAAAAGAAAAACAAATGTTTGTTCCATTATTGAATTACTATACTACCCTTTGACCAACGACCCCTCATCAATCCTAATGCAACATGGAATCCTACTTTAAATTGGAGACCGCCTTAGCTTTCTGTATATATACGTTACAAGACTTTCTAACAAGTCTCACAATTTGCTTCTGCTGCAATTATTCTACACCATACTTAAACCCTAATTCGTGTCATCTTCAATTCTTGCTTGTCAGTTTTCGTCCCGATTTTCGTCTCGATGGATCAACCGACGGAGAGGCGAAGCGGAGTCTCCCACCGCTGCCGGTTATCTACATTAGCCGTGATTGAGCCTGAAACTGAGTTGCCATGTACCCAATTCTTGATCACTGTCAAGTCCACAACATTTACTATTAATCACCCCTCGGATGAAGAAAACGACGCCGTTTTACCGCCAACTTCAGAATACTACTCGCACGAGCTCCAACTTGACCTACTGATGGACGAAAATGCGTCGAGGGCAAAGCTCGCCGAGGCTCTGCTTTCCGAGCTGCATTGCCCGCCGGAGCTCTGCGCAACCATGGTGGATAAGGTAGCAAACGGCGCCGTTGCGGAAGAGGCTAGTTCCCGCCCTTTCTCGGACTTCATGGTCGTTCACATCGAGGCGTGCATCGATGTTTTCGTCGAGCAGTTCGGGGGCTCCGAGGAGGAGGAGGCGGCCGCCCCGAAATTCGTGCCGGCGAGCAGGGCGGCGATTTCGAAGCTGGAGACGGCGACGGTGGAAGAATCGGCGGTGTGCGCGGTTTGTTTGGAGGAGATGGCCGTTGGATCGGACGCCACGTGTATGCCGTGCTCGCATCTTTATCACCGGGGCTGCATTGTGGAGTGGCTACAGAAGAGCAGGATTTGCCCGATGTGTCGGTTTTCTCTGCCCGCCGATCTGTCGGGTCGGAAAACCGGATCTTTTATTTTGTTGCCCGATTAGACAACGGACACCGAAGTGTTTGTTGAAATGCCTTTGAGAGGATACGGCACCAAATATCACTTGCCCGTTTGATATTCTTTATTTCTTTATTTTTTTTTAGTCTGTGGATGGATGTAATTTGATGGTTCTTTATTTTTGTTATTAATGAATATGATTGTTCCTAATTTCCAATTAATTTGTTACTTTTTTCCAACAAAAAAATTAATTTGTTTCTTTCGACTGATAGAATTGGATTTTGGGCATTGCTATCCACACTAATGAAATTCAAGGTTTAGGGGTAGCCCTTAATAAAAACTAATTGGGGAGTTTTATAATTTCCCCCTTTAATACTCTCTAGTTTTTTTTCAAAAAAAAAAATATAAATAATATAAAATGGAACGGAATTAAATTGTTGAGCTAGCCTAAGTCTTAACCCTTTTTCACTTAAGAACTTGCCTTTTTCTTAAAAAAATTTTATAAAAAAGCAATGAAATATATTGAAGCAAATCAAGTTTATACTAAGGTCATTTACTAGAACATCTTGAATGATATTGAGAGGTTCCCCGTACCAAGAAGATAAATCCGGTAAAGATAAAGCATAACAAGCAAGTCTATGTGCTACTTCATTAGTTTCACAAAAAAAAAGAATAACATTTAGCATTTGAATTTAGCATTTGAGTTAGTTTTGTTGAAGTAGTTGAGATGAATTTATTCAGGGGAATTAATGATGTATTTTTTATCGGTAATATTAATGAATTATTTTCAGTATTGAATCTATACAAAAAATTTATATCTACACTTTCCTGTTTTTTTTTTTTTTTTTTTTTTTTTTTTTTTAAAAAT